TTTTCCCAGAGGAGGCAACGGTACACCACTTCTGCAATGCTGATTCCGTTTAGCTTCTGTATTTCTTTCAGAGCTCTCAGACAACATATGCTCATGTGAATGAGCAGTAGGTGGCTGAGGACTTAAGGCTCCTTATATCACCTAGCACAAGGAGAGTACCAAACGATTAACTAGACAGATGTGATTGACTTAATATATCCCAAAATGTTTATTTTTCTTTCCTTTTTTCACTATGTGAAACCAAAACAAGAAACCAAGTAAGTCTGTATGTACATCTCCTTTTCCTCGACCCAGCACTTTTCAGCTGTGTTGGACTACTACAGATCCAATCATCCTTGCCAGGATGGTTAAAATGGATGTAGCCCGGGGTACCCGAAGGGCGCCAGGTAGGGAAAAGCTGCTTTACCCTTTTTTCCAGCTGCTTTTCGGCACAACTTAATTCCAGCCACAGACCAGGCAGCCGCTTCAGCTCCAGTTTGGCTCGGACTGCGCTGGGACTCACCGTAAAAGGCAGAGAGCAGACGGCGAAGATGATGGTCATGATGAACAGCAGGATGAGGTGATCCAGCTCCTCGGACATGGAGAAGGGTCTTCGGGCGCCCTGCGCGCACTCCCCGCCAGATTCCGGCTGGCGGCCCGCGCGCAGCGGAGCTCCCAGCGCTGGGCAACGGCAAGAGGTGGGCAGGCAGGTGGGCGCGCGCCTCAGGTGCATGCGGCAGAGGCTGACCATGACCACCAGGTTGCCCAGCAGGACGGCCAGGATGAGCAGCAACAGCACCGAAGCGTAGAGCAGCGCGAAGGCGTCGGCTCTGCCACCCGGGCGCATCTCGATGAAACACCACGTGCCCGGCCAGTATTCCATGTAGCTACCGAAGCCCATCAGCGGCAGGGCGCAGAAGGCGGCGACCAGGCCGTAGAGGGCGGGCAGGGCTCCCAGCAGCAGCGCCAAAGGCCGCCCGCTCAGCAGCCGCTCGTATAGGTACGGCGCGGCCATGGCCAGGCTGCGCTCCAGCGCCATGGCGCCCAGGCAGCTCATGGTGGCCAGGCTGAAGAAACTCATGGAGAAGGCGAAGTAGTCGCAGACGCGCCTGTCCAGGGCGTTCAGCGTCTGGTGTCGCCCGTAGGCCGCCAGCACCACCGGGCTGAGCAGGCAAGTGCCCAGCAGGTCGGTCAGCACCAGCGCCATCAGCAGCACGTGGAAAGGCGCCAGGCGCTCCCGCCGCGCCAGCCGACGGCGTCGCGCCAGGAGCAGCAGCACCAGCGCCGTCAGGTTGCCGAGCACGCCCGCGGTGAACATGACCGCCGAGATAGCCGGGCCGTCGCCCAAGGGCGACGGAGAAGACGCCTTCGGTCTCTTGTTGCCTAAGAGCGCGGTCGGCCGCGTGCTTCCTCGGCCCGCCTCGTCCATCATCGCGGTGAACTGGCGGAGCGGGCGCTCCTCAGTGGAAAAGGAAAGGAGCTCGGCGGGCAGCCGACGATTAAGCACCACCTCCTGCCGCCCCCCCCCCAACCGAGCCGCCCGCCCCCCCCGATATCGCTGCCAGACTCCGGACGAGCCGGGGCTGCCCTTGCGGCTTCCTCGCGAGCCGCAGCTCTCCCAAAGGCCTCGGGCGGGCGGGCGGGCGGGGGGAAGGGGGAGATTCCGAGCGCGGAGAGGGCGGCGTCGGCTCTCGCTTCTGCTTCGAAATGAAGGAACTTTTTCACGTTCTCTTCTTCAGAATGAAACTTTGGACGCGGAACCATTCCACACCTTACACACAAAACTGATTTTGCCCCTCAAAATATCCCCTCCGCCGCACCGGTGGCCCAGCTGCATAGAAACGCAAAGCTTGAATTCGTTCGTCTTTTTCCATGATAGGGATTTTGATTTCTCTGGCACTGTGTGAACCGAGAAGAGTTGTCTCCGCTGTTTCTTTTCCAATCCTGATCCTGAGATGCCCTTTGCACAGGATCACCGGGAATGTAGCAAATAAATTTGTAAATGTAATCCAGACCAGAGTACCCCTGTGAGTGTCTAGATCAGTGTTTCTCAACCTTGACAATTTTAAGGCATGTGGACTTCAACTCCCAGAATTCCACAGCCAGCATTGCTGGCTGTGGAATTCTGGGAGTTGAAGTCCACATGCCTTAAAATTGTCAAGGTTGAGAAACACTGGTCTAGATTAGAAAGCTGCACCGCTATGACCTGTAGAACAAGTGAACAGAATTTTCAAAGAAGCCTGCATATCACAGGTCAGGTAGGATAGA